CTGTCTTGGTGCCTCAGAGCCCACGAGTTCCTTGTGATGCATGGAAATCCAGGTCCCTGTACAGAGCAAGATGTCCCAGTTTGGGAGTACACAGGGCAAGGAACAGGCCTCTGCAGGTGTGGGCATTGCAGGTTGGTGGTGGGGTCTTGTCTGCTCTAAGAAAATCGACTTGAGGGGCAAGGGAAAGCATTTCTAACAGGGGTGGGAGGCCTGGAGAAAGCCCCAGAGGCGGGAAAGCCCAGCTGCTGACGCTTCCAGAGAGGACTGTTCTGCTGAAACAGCCACACTTGCCCGGGAAGTTGGAAGAACTTGTCCCCGAGGTAGTGGAGAGCCAGAAAGCAGAGGCCGGAGTGGAGGCTGCTGTGGTTGGCAACCAGGCTGATGAGATAAGGGCCATTTGTAGGGATTCATGAGTTTGTGGAGTAAAAGAAACCGACCCTAAGGAGTACATGGGCGCGGTGGCTCACGCCTGTCATCCCACACTTTGGGAGACCTAGGGAGGAGGATTGCTTGAGCCCCGGAGTTCGAGACCAGCCTAGGCAACTGGTGAGGGTGGGAGGCATTTCTGACGAGCACCTTGAGAACTCACTCAGCATTACAACCACTTCCATCAAACCAGACGTGGATAGATTATTTTTACAGAAACAAGGACAGATTTCCCATTAGTTTTATGTTGTTCTCATTTTTCTAAACTTTATAAAAAAGAAGTCTTATTATGTATACACACTATATTATATAATTTTTTTTTTTTTTTTTGAGTCAGAGTCTTACTCTGTCGCTCAGGCTGGAGTGCAGTGGCACACTCACGGCCAGTGCTGCTTCAAGCTGGACCTCCTCTCTACAAAAAATTAAAATATTAGCTGGGTGTGGTGGCATGCGCCCGTATTCCCAGCTACACGGGAGAATGAGGCAGAAGGATCGCCTGAGCCCAGAAGTTTGAGGCTGCGGTGAGCCCTGAGCATGCCACTGCACCCCAACCTGGGTGAGACCAGACTCAAATAAATAAAGAAAGATCACATGTGGAACGCCTTCATTTACATAAAGCACAAACCAAGTGGCACATGTCTACCCGGTGAGAGTTTGAGATTGGGCTGACCCTTGAAGGGAAACCTAGAACCTGGGAAAAACACCAGCTTTCTGGGGCACGAACGCTCTGTTTCTGCCTTCCTGTGGCTTCCGCTGGGGCTTTAGATCGGTGAAGATCATCACCTCATCCCCTAGCCTGCAAATGTTTGTTCTTTTTATTTCAATGACCAGTTATGAAAACCCACTCGCTCCATCACTCTCAGAAAGCCCCAGCTGGATGTCCACTTGTGCTCGGAGCTCTGCCAGGTTGGACTCGAGGAGGACTGGATGTCTTGGACTCTGCTTTAAATTTGCCATTTCAGGGCTGACGTGCGGCTGGTGCTGACTCACCTGGCTGTCCACGGAGAGCAAAGTGAGTAGAATGCAGAACCACTTGTCTCCCTCAAGGCCGCGGGCTGGAAGAGGATATTGATTTGTAAGAGTTACTCATACTGACTGAGGAATGTGTGCCACCCCCGGTTAGCAAAAGATGCTAGTGACTCAGCCTCGAGAACATTCGGTTCTTTGGGAGTCTGAGGAGGAAAAATAGGGAGAGTCCCTGCTCTCAGCCAAGTGCTCCTTGGGTCCTAAGTGTGGTCCCCAGGCCAGTAGCTGCAGTCTATCCTGGGAACACGTTAGACATGCAAATGCTGGCCGGGTGCGGTGGCTCAAGCCTGTAATCCCAGCACTTTGGGAGGCAGAGAGAGAGGATTGTCTGAGCCCTGGGGTTCAAGACCAGCTTGGGCAACTTGGCAGGCCCTCATCTCTACAATAAATCAAAAAATTAGCTGGGCGTAGTAGCACATGCCTGTAATTCCGGTTACTTGGAAGGCTGAGGTGGGAGGATCGCCTGAGTCCAGCAGGTCGAGGCTGTGGTGGCTGTGAGTGTACCACTTCACTCCAGCCTGGGTGACAGAGTGAGATTCCGACTCAAAAAAAAAGAAATGCAAATGCCTAGGCCCCACTCCTGACCTGCCGAACCTGAGACCCCAAGAGAGGGGCCCAGCATGTGTGTTTTACAAGACTTCTAGGAGGTTCTGACCCACGCTGAGGTGAGAACCACTGTGCCAATGGAGAAATGAAACAGAAGAGCAAGCCGGGAAGGCTTCCGGACCACCTGCCTCCTCCACAGAGCTAGTACCGGAGAACGTGGCCTTGGTCCAAAGGTGGAGCCCCAGTTAGGCAGACTTGCCCCTTCTGGGAGGGAGCCCGGGCCTGACTCTGTGACACTATGGCGTGGTGGAACAGACGACAGCCACGGAGACGCTGCGTGCTTCCTGCAGACAGCCGGCTCCCAAAAGGAAAATTCGAGAACAGGACGGGGCCTCCCAGGCTCCTCTCCAAACTCACCAGTCAAGCAACACATCCTACCTCCCCAGAAAGGCACAAGGAGTGGGTACCAGGGCAAGGGGTGTTGTATCCATGCTGCAGGAGGGAAGCCCCCTCCCCTGATATGTCTTAGGTGAGGATGTGGATGTGACTGGCTTCCGCCTCTTTGGTTCACACCCATCAGATTTGTTCTTGCACAATTGGGAGAGAACTGGCCAGGACTTAAGTTCGACATTGACAGTGAGTAGGGGCTGAGGGTTCTTCATGGGTATTGCCCCACCTGGTGGGTGTGGCCGGTGTGTGGGTGAAGCAAAGTAACTTTTGATTCTGAGGCTTCATCCTCCCACCCATCCGCCCCAATAATAAGCATTCACTGCCGGGTTTCTGTCCTGTGCGGGAGAAAGCCCAAGAAGAAATCCAGCCATCAGGGGCTGGGTGCTGTGACTCACACCTGTAATCCCAGCACTTTGGGAGGCCAAGGCGGGAGGGTTGTTGGAGCCCGGGAGTTTGAGAACAGCCTGGGTCACAAAGTGAGACCTTATCTCTACAAGAAGTTTTTAAAAAAAAATAATAATAAGCCGGGCGTAGTGGCGCACACCTGTAGACCCAGCTGCTCAAGAGGCTGAGGAAGAAGGATCACCTGAGCCAAAGAGGCTGTGGTGGGCTATGAGCGGGCCACTCTACTTCAGCCTGGGTGGCAGAGGGAGACTCTGGCTCAAAAAAAAAAGAAAGAAAGAAAGAGAAGAAAAAACAAGAGCGGGGTGTGTTCCCTTCCTCAGGTGTTTGATCAGGTATACTTTAGCCTGTCATCTTTTTTTTTTTTTCCCCGAACCGGAGTCCCATTCCATTGCCCAGGCTGGAGTGCAGTGGCTCACTCATGGCTACCCTTGCATCGGCCTGCTGGGCATCCTTCCACCTCTGCCTCCCAAGTAGCTGGAACTACAGGTGCGTGCTGCCACGCCCAGCTAATTTTTTGATTTATTGCAGAGATGAGGTCTCACCATGTTGCCCAGACGGGTCTCCAACCTGCAGGCTCAGGCAATCCTCTCACCTCAGCCCCCCCAAAGTGCTGGGATTTCAGACTTGAGCCACAGCGCCCGGCCTAGCCTGTCATCTTAACAGATGCACCCGCTAGTATCTGAATATAAGCGGCCTCCACCTTCCTCTTCAGGATTCAAAGGAGAAGAGACTCTAGGAACAGAAAAAAACAAGCAAACAAAAAAAGAGTCTTGGGACTCATTTAGTCCAAACAACCCACTTTACAGCAGGGGAGACAGAGGCCCAAGAGTTGGAATGACTTTTCCAAGGTCCAGCCACTAATTATTGGCAGATTCATGATCCGCCCGCAGGCTAAAAACTTGCCATCCTCTGCAGTCCCACAAACTCAGAATCCACACCTTGGATTACACAGCATTCTCTCTAATGGGGATCTCTCTGGCCGCCCTGTCACCAGAAGCAACTGGAGACGTGTCCCATAGCTTTCCAAGTAATTTCCCTTTGCACCCCCAGTCCTGACTGGGACAAGCCATGTGTAGAAAGATCTGTCTGGGGTGTCACACAGGCTTCTGCTGAGGGAGGCAACAGCTGCCTGGCACCCTCTTTACCTCGAGACCTGGATCTTGGGTTTTCTGATGGCTCAAAGATGACGGTTTGAACAGAGCGGGCACAATTGTCCAGGGAGTCATCGGCTCGGTGGTTCAAAAGGCTCAGCAAGGTAATTTCCTCAAGTCCTTCCCAGTCTCTATTTTTTTTACTATACATAAAAGAGTCTCCCAAGAGCTGCAAACCCCCTGCCACAGGGGATTCCAGCTCTGGTGCATTCCCAGGTCTCGTGATGGAATGGCTTTACACAATTCCCACTCATAATCAAGGCGAGGCCTGGAAAACACCAATGTGAGAAGAAACCGCCACAGAGCACGTGGCTATCTTTTGAGTTATAAAAATGCCTGATAGTCAAATATTTCAAATAAATGATGAGAGACTATTTGGGAATACATATTCCTTGATATTAGACATGCAGTATTATACCTGACCAACAAAAGATGATTTGCTTATGTGTCCCCTGTAAGAGGAGGTTGTCTCTAAAACAAGTAGACTTAGTATCCTTGAAAAACGTCAATGACAGAAGGGAAAGTCTTTGGCGTATTTTGTGTGGTTTATCTGAAAATCATTAAGGGGTACCCATATGCCCTGCAAATGGCTGTCACATCACCGAGGCACGATACATTCTTGCAGGATATGACAGTGACTATTAAAACAGCTGACTTTGTCACAAACTGTCACCCGATCCTCTAAGCTTCAGTTCTCAGACATTCAAGCCACCTTAGAGTGCCAGGACTAGGGCCATCTCATGAATTGATAATGTGGCTTCCCGTCCCAGCTCTGCCACTGAACTCTCCTCAACCCTCTCTCTTCAAACTCTGGCCAACTCCAGAGCGATGCTTCGTGAAATCAGAGAAGAGGAGAGCCTGAGATGCGGCAAGCCAACCCCACAAGACCCGAGATGCCACCGGCCACCCCGCCGGTCAGCAGGGCAACTCCTTGAGCCTGTGATATCCACCACCTGCCACCAGGAGGCAGAGTCAAGTGGGAAATAAGGCTCCAGCCCGCGTTAGAATATATTTATTGCTACATTTATATACAATTATACAAACAGCCTGGACAGGAAAGGGAATGTTGCATCAATTTCTGTAGATTCTTCCACAGATGTGTGCACAGAAATGGAGCTGGTCACCACTGAGTTTGCTCTTGGTTCAAAGCCAAAGATAAGTCACATACATTTTTTTGTTTGTTTGTTAAAGTGGAAAATTCTTAGAAATTCTCTCCACGGATTTCTCCTTACAAGCTAATCATGCAGAAAACAAGTGGATTCTCAGAAGCTGATGCCTCCCGAGGGAGGCTGTCTGGGGGATGGTGCCTTGAAGATGGGGTGCGGCAGACGCTGGCTTGGGACTGCGGGGTGCAATGCAGAAATCCCAAGGCCTGGCCCACCTTCTAAGTTCTGTCTTTAGGAAGGACAGTTGAGAGGGGTTTGGAGAGAGACAGAACAGCAAGAAAGGGAAAACCAACAGTCGACGGCGATAAGGGGAGACCCGTCAGCAGGAGCCCTGGTCGAGGGAACACGGTCCACCCGGCTCCAACTGAGATCCCAGACGCTGGGAGTCACATACATATTCCTTGATGTTAGAACACTAGGTCTGCCTCGGTAGTTTCTTATCCTACAGCTCGCCACATGTCAGCTGCCAGGGACCTGCGTGAAGACACAGAAAGGAAACAGGAAAGTCAGGCAAGAAAGATGAAAATGCAGCCTAAACGCTTGTATTACCACAATGAAGTTGAGCAAGGCGTGACCTTGGCATCTTTCCACATTCTGCAAGTTCATGCGTAGTCGTGGTTGAGTATATTATTATTATTATTAAGTCAGAGTCTCACTTTGTCACCCAGGCTGGAGTGCAGTGGCACACTCGTGGCCACCGCAGCCTCGACCTGCTGGGTTCAGGTGATCCTACCGCCTCAGCCTTCCAAGTAGCTGGAACTATAGCCATGTGCTACCACGCGTGGCTAATTTCTTTGATTTATGGTAGAGATGCGGTCTTGACAAGTTGCCCAGGCCTATCTCGAACCCTTGGACTCAGACAATCCTCTTGCCTCAGTCTCCCAAAGGGCTAGGATTACAGGCATGAACTACCGCACCCGGCTCGAGTTTTTTACTGAACTATGAAGGAGAATGGACCCTGCGGAGGGAATGCAGGGATATATAGATTGCACCAAAATAACGGTGGTGCCACAGAACTCTGCCCTCTGACCTCAGCCCGGCTAGCGGTCATTATCTTTGGCCTCAAAAGGAGTCTATCGGAGTAGATTTCACAATGTTCCCATATGGAATTAGGATGTGAATGTAAGAGCCGGGTATAAACGCTCCCCCTTTCACATAGCAGTCACATGAACCTTGACATAAATCCCGAGAGAAATGGTTAAGCAGCCTGTGGGCATGTGCCCAAGAAACGAGTTCACCTTATTTACACCAGCTCCATCTCAGGCCACTTCCCATCACGGGCCTCCAGGAGAGAGAGGACCTGCAGGTCAAGGCTAACCTGGCCTCCTTGGCTAAAATCAGCCCAGAGCCTCCGAGAAAAGACAAGACTGAAGGTGGCAAGAAGCCTATGGGTCTAAATACACCAGGCTGGGCCAGCATTTGAGGCTGGTTAGTAATTTGGATACAGCCTGGTCCCAAGACTGTAGGGGATTCCATCCCCAGAGAAACCAGTCAGCTCTCTCTTGTCCCTGGCTTTAGAGGTCAAGGCTGATTCCCACAGCCCTCACCCTAACCCTCCCCCCGAGTCAAGAGGAAGACAGAATGACAGTGCAGTGGAGAAGCCCTGAGCTCAGTGGGAGAAGGACCCGAAAACCTCTCAGAAGTCTTTGTCCTTTTTGTGGGTCAATAACATCATAACCAACTATGGAGGGGCCCAGCAGTCCTTCCAAGGCTGCCAATTCTGTGACATTTCAAGCTGGAGGATGTGGCGGTTGCCAGCTCCCCAGAATCCTTCATAAATTCATCTCTGGGTAATTAGAAATCTCTTTCTGTCATTTGATCTTGACTTTTCTGGTGAGTCATGCAGAAACTTTCTTCTCCTACTTCTGATGACAGCAGCTCAGAGTTAAACTCACTCAAACGGTTCGTTCTAAAAAGCAAGAATATTCGCAGATGAAAATCAGAAACATCCGGCGAATGTTACTTTGGGGAATCTTACTAATCAATACACAAAGTGAGAAGAGCCACATAAATGAATTTCTGCACTGGAAGAAATGGTGTAAAGATGAACAGCTAAAAAGATCGTTTGTGGCCATCTACGGAACATGAAGACATCCCTTCAACAGGGATCTTAGCTCAGCTATCAGAAATCAGACTAGCTGGGTTGTATGAATTCTCAGTTAGCTAGATCCCTTCAAAATGAGTGAGAGAAAATGGTGACGGATGTGTCACAGCCCTTCAGGTGAATTTTTGAAACAATCACAGTGTCTTGGCTGTGTCGTGAAATGTCAGAGATTCTTGCGTGACCTTCAACTCATTTCAGAGCAATCCAAAAATCAAGGCCAAAGAAGTAAATTGTTTCTAAAAATTCTCTGCCTTAAGTGAACACATGTGACCCTTTTTATCAATGCCACATGAAAAAAATCTAAGCTGGGCACAGTGGCTCATGCCTTTAATCCCAGCACTTTGGGAGGCCGAGGCAAGTGGATTGCCTGAGCCCAGGGGTTCAAAAACAGCCTCGGCTGATTGGCAAGGTCTCATCTCTATAAGAAGTCAAAAAATTAGCCAGGTGTGGTGGCTAATAGTGGTGCCTGTAGTTCCAGCTACTTGGAAGGCTGAGGTAGAAGGATTGCCTGAGCCCAGCAGGTCAAGGCTGTGGTGGCCCTGAGTGTGCCACTGCACTCCAACCTGGGCGACAGAGTGAGACTCCAACTCCCAAAAACAAAAAAAGAAATCACAACATAAACTGCATTGCTGTGGTTTCATTTAGAAATAGGGCAAATACCCTCTGCCAAAAGAAAGAATTTTGAAACCACCTGTTATCATGGTAATCATGTTGAAAAATGATTTTAAGCCGGGTATGGTGGCTCAAGCATGTAATTCCAGCACTTTGGGAGGTGGAAGCAAGAGAATTACCTGAGCTCAGGGGTTCAAGACCAGCCTGAGCAACATGGTGAGACCTCATCTCTATAATAAATCACACACACAAAAAAATTAGCCGGGCATGGTGTCACGTGCCTGTGATTCCAGCTACTCAGAAGGCTGAGGTGGAAGGATCACTTGAACCCAGTAGGCTGAGGCTACGGTGGCTGTGAGCGTGCCATTGCACTCCAACCTGGGTGACAGGTGCTTTTTAGAAAGAAAAATGATTTTAAATGTCACCAAATTGAGGCCAAATGCATAATACTATATTAACCTGGCTTATGAACCACTTCCTTTTCTACTCAATCTGTATGTACACAACTTTATCTTTTAAGTAAATCTGGATATGTTTCTTTAAAAGGGAAAGAAAAACCTCCCAGCAGAACACAAGCGTCCTGTGTGTGAGCATGGCCACGACCCCCTTAGTCGCTGCTTGATGGTGCCCTTTCACAAAAGCAAGACAGGTTCTCAGGCCGCCTGTCCAATCCTCTCTGCAACATTACGGGGAGAATCTCATCCTCATAAACTCTAGCTGACCTCAAAATGACCAAAGGGGGGGGAACAGGTTGTCAACTGGCAAAGAGCCCAAGAGACGCCGACTACCGAGACACAATCTTGAGGAGGTGGAATGGGAGAAGTTGCTCCTGGTCAGTTTCTTTGACTTGAAATTCACTCGACTCAAAAGCCCCAGCCTACGGATGAATGGATTCAGGTTTTACGGGGGCCCCGCCAGCATCCTGGCAGTAAAGTGTGGCGGGTCTCAGGAGAAGGTGGCCAGTTCTGGCCCCGGCTGCCAGCTGTACTTACCCCGTGAGGGGGGGAGACTTCTTCCGAACCGTCACATCTGCTTTATACTGCTTTGGCAAGAGCGCATCTGGAACAGTGCGTACAGTTTGGGTCCCCACCTTTCACAAGAGACATCGAGAGGTTAGAAAGCACTTAACGAAGAACACAGAAAAAAGCCAAATGGGAAGAGGGGACTAACTACTCAACAGTTGGGAATGCAAGGAACGCCCTCATCTCCCTGGGTTATGTAGGGTCTGTCGGGAATGAAGTTGCCAAGCTCTCTGCCCGTCTTTAACCTCTTTGTTTTTTTCACCCCACCTTTGAAGCTCCACTGTTAGAATGTGGAAATAAGAATAACTTTAAATCTCCTTTTTAAATAGACGCTGGAGTTCTAATACTTGCAACAACCCTGCACAAATGAATCAGTTTCACAAGAAAAATAGGTCTCAAAGCTATAAACATCAGAGCTTCATGCTACCAGATTTTATGTTTTATTTGAAGTTCTCTCTTGATCAATCTACATAATGTTAAAGTTCCTTTCAGGTACCAACCAGACTAATAGACCCAAAATACACTGTAGTGCCTACTTGGAAATCAATAGTTGCTGTGTTTTAATAAGAAAATTCTCAATGCCTGTCTACTAAAAGACTGGATGGGTTAAGATGAACAAACAAATAAACAAACAGTGAAAACTACCTCCCCTGCAGCCATGTTGGCATTGCAAAGGTGACAGAGGTCAATGTCAGCCCTACATTCTCTGGTCTGTCTTCTTCAGCTCTGGCCCTTAGAGATACCAAAAGCAAAGTCATAATTAATAAAGAATTTATTCAACAGGCCAAGCTTATCTATGAGTCAGTTCCCTGACTGGGGCGAACACTGTTTTCAGTGATTTCTGTCCTTGTGCGTGAAGCCATTGCAAATGCAGCCACTGGCAGTCTCTATCTCATGAACAGAGTATGGGCTGTTTCCCTGTGAAAACCACGCCATCACTGGGGGTTCAGTTTCCAGGCAGTCTAACCCACAATGGAAAGCTGAGTCTTTCCAGGAAAATACAGTTGAAACCCCCAATTTGTCAAAGGTGGTAATGAAGGAACACAGAAGCAATGACATTTATTCATAGCTTTTTTTTTTTTTTTAGTTGGAGTCTCATTCTGTCACCCAGGCTGGAGGGCAGTGGCACACTTGTGGCCACCACAGCCTCGACCTGCTGGGCTCAGGCGATCCTTCCACCTCAGCCTTCCAAGTAGCTGGAACTGTGGGCGCATGCCAACACGCCCGGCTAATTTTTGATTTATTGTACAGATGAGGTCTCACCAAGTTGCCCAGGCTGGTCTCGAACCCGTGAGCTCAGGCAACCCTCTCACCTTTGCCTCCCAAAGAGCTGGGATTATCAGTGTGAGTCACCATGCCCGGCCTATTCATAGCTTTATAATGCTTCTTTAATACTTGAATTTGATATCAAACTGGGCAGAACTAATGAGAAGATAATTAAGTAGTCCTCAAAATTTAACAGCACTTTAAAGGGATTTTAAGTGTTTTCAAGGACTTGGGAAAGCAGTGGAGCTACTGTACTAAGTGTCATTTCAAGGTAGACAGCTACTGTTCTTCCTTAATCACTAGTCATACTTGCCGTGATTAACCATGACTGGGGTAGATTCAGACTCATAAAGGAATGCAGGGAGAGAGAAAGAACAAATGAAGGGAGAGAACGGTTTTCCCGAATATCATGAGAACATCTGGAAGAACATGAAAACAAAAGGAGGAAGAACAAAGCGGATAAATGCAGGATACAGAGAGAGCAGAGAACGGAAGGAGCAGTTAGTTGCCAGTGACAGCAGAGGAAATGGCACTTCTCCATGTCCCCAAGTAGGGAAAGGGGTAGAGATGGCAGCAATTTCCAAGCTTGGCCACCTGGTGGTGCCGTGAGATTAGACTACAGTACTGCTTTTGCAGCTCGCCAGAGCTGACCCGGAGAAGTAAGATACGTACACATGAGGTGGGCTGGATGTTCACAGCGCAGGTGGCTCGGGACTCATGAAGCATCAAGCCACGGGTGAGGACATACACCACATCAGGTTATTCCGGGAACTCAAACGTGGTTTAGCGTTTAAAAATCGACTTACCTAGTTCAGGACATTAACAATGTTTTAAAAGTACACATACAATTATCTTAAGACACTCGGAAGTTACACTTAACACATTAAAACCCTCTTCTTATTTTTTCTAAAAAAGGCATATGTAAATAAAAGGGAGTGTCATGCATCTGACAAATGCCATGTGCCAAAAACGTACAGCAAGCAGAGTGGCAAAACATTAGAGAGATTAGACGCATTCCTCTTAAATCAGACATGAGGCACCACTTATGTTCAGTATTGACTGGAACTTACAGCCAGGCAACTAAGGTAAGAAGAAGAACAAAAGTTAGATGGATTGGGAAGGAAGACTGAAAACTTTCCGTATTTAGAGAGGATGACTATGAGAAAAGCCCCAAAGACCTCACAAATTATTAGGAACAATGAGAATTAAGCAAAGTTCCTTCATTTACAGTCAGCAAGCAAAAACCAATTGCATTTCTCTACACCAGCCACCAATAGCTTTCAAACATAACTGTTAAAAAAGACAGCAAAAATAAGATGCTTAATAATAAATCTAACAAAAGAAATACACGATCTTCAGGCGAAAATGTAAACAAATTTGCTACAAGGCATTAAGGAAGATTTTAACAAATGGATAGAACATATTTATGATTAGAAATGCTTAATATTGTACAGGTGTAATTTATTCCCAGGTTAATCTATTAATACATTTCCTACCGTAAGTACCCAAAGGTTTTGGTTTTTTTTACTCTAATTTAAACTAATTCTAAAATTTATGTAAAAGAACTGACGGCCCAAACTAGTGAGGAGTTTATTATAAGATCAAAGTGGAGAAACTTTTACACAAGGCTCAACCAGATCCTAAGCCTTGTTAAAAAGCTATGGTAATTAAGACAGAAGGGTATTGGCGTGGAAATGGACACATTGGCCAATGAACAGAACAGAGACTAAGATATATGAAGGAAGTAGCAATGCAATCAGAAAAAAGATGAGCTGCTAAGTAAGGTATGAAGACAACTAGTTTTCCAGGTCAAAAAAAAAAAAAAATTGGATCCATATTTCCTGCTATACAGCTATTTCCAGCTGGACTAAAGATCTAAGTGTAAAAATAACCAAACTTTTAGAAGACAATAAAAACCCCAAAACTTTTAGAAGAAAGTGTAGGAGAATATATTCATGAATATATTCTCAAGTAAGAGAATCTCTTAAAGAAGACACACACTCACTCACAAGCAGACCCTGAAAATTTACCATAATACTATAAGAAAGGGGTTGACAGTAGCCAGAAACTGCTGGAGGCAGTAGGGTGAAAACTGATCTCAAACTAGGTGAAGTAGGGACCAAAGGGAATTGTACCCCACATCTTTAAAATAAAAAATTTTAAAAACACACACAAGCAACTTTAAAAAAAAAAGAAGACAAACAAGAAAAAAATTCCCCACAAATCTTAGGGAGAAGGATTTCTATATTAAGCTACAATCAAATTTAAAATGTTTACTTATCAAAGAAATCATTAAGAGGCAAAAAGACAAAGCACAATATGGGAGGATATATCTATAAAACATTTAAAATGTCAGAAGAACAATAACCAGAAATTAGTAAGCAAATTATCTGAATCAATTTGACCTGGAGAAACAAGCTAGTAGAAAGCAAGGGTGGGGGTGGGGAATTATTTCAAAAAAGAGGAGACACGAAAAATTTAAACATATTTTTTGAAAAATTCTCAATCACATTAGTAATTAACAAAATGCAAAATAAAAGCAAGATGCCATGTAAAATCGGCAGAAATTGAAAAGTCTAGTGATATCAAGTGTGGCAAAGATATCACTTTGGGAAACAATTTGATGGATCTGTAGTAAAGTTGAGATGTTCATACCCTGGAACTTGACAATTCCCTCCCTAAGTCTCTGCCTTAGAAATACTATCACTCGTATTCACGAGAAGACATAAATAGAGAAAAGAATGTGTGTGGCTATATTGTTTATTAAAATATTTTAAAATACAGGAAACAATCCAAATGTCCATTATCATGGGAACTGATAAATTGTAATGCATTCTTAAAATGAATCCACTCACAGCAGTGAAAATGAATGAACCACTCGTCAAAATGGATGTGCATGTGTGTGGAATAAAAGTTTCTTTTCGGGTTCATATGAGTGCAAAACTAGACATTATATTGCTTATGGATACAAACTCAGTAAAAGCAAAGGGAAGGATGGCATGAAAGAAGAACTGGTAATGCCAACGTTTCCAGCAATGTACTCGTTTTTAAATGGATACATGAGTATCTATTATATATATCTATGTATAGATATAATATGTTCATTCATTTATATTTCTACTAGGCATATCTCTTTCTCTAACACTGTTGTAAAGCTTTCTCTAGTTTTTTAAGTCAGAAAGTGATGGAGGGAAAACACAACCATAGATGGGGAAGTTATAAATTTGGTTCCAATTATCTTTAGTCTTTGAACCATTTGAATTTCAAGAATCTCAAAGAAACATCTACATGGAAAAGTCCATACTTACTCTAAGAACACTGAGTAAAATAAGCAACTGTGTCATTCTCACAGTTGTGAGTGCTCTCATCTCTCTAAATCAGTGACTCTCAGAGAGGGTGATCCTAAAGGAGCAGCCTTCAAGTTCAAAGCCCTATGGAAAGCAGTGCGGCGATTCCTAAAAGAACTAAAAATTGACCTTCCATACTCTCCAGCCATCCCTCTCCTGGGAATATACCCGGGGGAACATAAATCGCTCTGCAAGAGACACCTGCACCCTCATGTTTATAACTGTGCGACTCACAATAGCAAAAACAAGGAACCAACCTCACTGACCATTGAAAGTGGGCTGGATTAAGAAAATGTGGTACATAAACATGATGGGGTATTGCACAACCATAAAGAAAAAGAAAATCGTGGACTCTGCAGCAAATTGGATGGCGTTGGAGACCATCATACTCAGCGATCTATCACAGAAGCAAAGAACCGAAGACCGCATGTTCTCACTCGTAAGTGGACCCTGAA